AGAAAACTCATTTCTTTGTGTGCTTTTCTTTCTTTCACCACAAAGGAAATGCTTCCTGAAGCATTCAAATATTTGCTCTCCTAAATGTTAACCCTTTTTTCCGGGCCATTTTTTTTCTGATATCCAAAAGTATTTTTTCAAAGTAAAATCCAGACTAATGCAAGGAAAGGAAGATTTTGAATAGTGGGACAGTCAAAATAATGGCTACAATGTGAGTCTGATTCAGAAATAAACAGGCAAGAGAAAGTTAGTGCTGAGAGCACTTCTCAGTACCTCGGGAAAGTTAAACAGCTCAGGTCTCAGTAAATGTAACTCTCCTCTGTTGTGGCTCAGCTGATGAGCATCCTCCTTCAGACCCTACTGAGTGTATGTCCTGCTTTGCCTTTTATCACCACCTAATTAGAGGCAAAAAATCAGGTTCAGGTTGTTAAGACATTTCTATTGTAAACCTCTCATGCATTGGCTTTCATGTCCTCATAAAAGCATAGAAGGAAAAAAAAAGAAAAATAAACGAAAACCAAAAGAACAACCCGATGCAGAGGCTAATGACTGAAAAATCAAAAAGGGAAAAGAGAATGAAGATGTGAAAATGAAAAACACAGAGTTACTTAGGAAGGAGAGAGCAAAGGCAAGTATTCAAAGGGTAACACTGCTCAGCAGTAACAGGAGTTATTTCTAGAAGAAACACCCTCCAAACATTAACAGATCTGGTCACACTGGTGTGAGGGCAGAGGCAGTGAGACACGAGGTGAAATGGTGTATAGCACTGAGCCCTGTTGCATTCTGTATGTGACACAGGCATTCCTGGCAGGAATCCCTATGGCAGGATTTTAATTCCACTGGAGCAGCAGGAACAGCCTTTTCTAAGCTCTGGTGCTGCTCTGCCCAGTGTGAAGGCTCCTGACCCCCATGTCTGTAACTGCACTTCACTGGGGTCATGTCTGCAGTGCTTAAACGGCTGGACTTGACCTCAGAAGTCTTTTCCAACCTCAGCGATTCTATGAATCTGCAATGCAGAGGCCCTTTGGGACCTGTTGGACTCTTCTAAAATGTGTGGTGTTCATGTATCTCAAAAAACGCCATCCTGGAAGTTTGGCTTTGCCAAACTCAGGGACACTGTGCAGGCTCCCCTGGCCCCCTTTTGCAGCACAGACAATCCCTTCAGAATTTACACAAGTCAAATAAATTAGTGATCAAAAAAAGTAATGTCTTGAAAATGTGCCTATGCCTGGGCAGTGAGGATTGCTGGGGGGCACTGCTGGCTCACTGTGTCCCCCTGGCCATGGAAATAAAAGACTATTTCTAAAATAGTCATTCTATTCTATTCTATTCTATTCTATTCTATTCTATTCTATTCTATTCTATTCTATTCTATTCTATTCTATTCTATTCTATTCTATTCTATNTATTCTATTCTATTCTATTCTATTCTATTCTATTCTATTCTATTCTATTCTATTCTATTCTATTCTATTCTATTCTATTCTATTCTATTCTATGCTATGCTATGCTATGCTATGCTATGCTATGCTATGCTATGCTATGCTATGCTATTCCTAAAATTTCTAAAGACTTTAGCATGGCTGCTAAAGACAGGTGATGGGAGCCACCCTGGGCTGATGAGGGACCCCTGAGGTGGCCAGGCTCGGGCAGGAAGCTTCACTAAAGCCTGGATTTACTTCTCATTCAAAATTACTGAAAGCCAACTCCTCCTCCTTCTGAGCAGAAGCCAATTTTTCTATGTGAACTTAACTGTTTCTTGCTCGTGCTTAACTGGATTTTAAAGCTATGTTTTAACATAAGTTAAAGCACTGTGGGTATTTTCCCCCTTTTCCCAGCAGAGGCTGGAGGATGTGGGTCAGCTGGGAGGGCTCAGAGCTGCAGCTCTTGGCAGAGCAAATCGCCCCTTCCCAGTCCTGAGCTCTGCCAGGTCCTAGTGCCCCCCTGCCCTCTGTGCCATGTCACTTTAGCGTCTCTTAAAACTCTTCAAAACAACATCCAGCGGCTCCGGGAACACTGATCCAGCACAGAAAAACCAGGTCACCTCTCAGGAGCACGTGCAGATCCCATGCAAGCCACCTTCTAAAATTAGAGGCTGTGTCGGTCTTTTGTTTGTGTCACAGATGGGGTTGTTTCCACAAGTAAGAGTGGATTCTGACCTGAAATGGAGCTCTAGCCCATGCTGGGAGGGGACACGGATTTGCTCTGAGTGCAGATGGACAAATCCTGCACCCATCCAGCGCTGCCCCCGCTGTCCTGAGCCTCGCTCTGCCAGCACCACTGGGCACACCTGACATGGGGCAAGAGCTGCTGCTTCTGCTCCACTCTGCCCTTCTGCTCCCCAGGTCGTGCAAACTGCTGTGCATCCCAGGAACATCTCGCAGAGGTTCTGTTTTCATGTGTGAAACATTTAGCTTGTCTTGGGTTTGGATACTTTATTTGTGAAGGCAAAGCAGAGCAGTAGTTCAGAGATAAGCAGAATTTGAGATTGCTCCAGAAACTGATTTGCCTAGATCTCTTCTGGAATTCTAATATTACTGGATAGGCCATCAATATAGTCATCTATGATCAAGGAGGAAACTCGTTTGTGCAAGGAATTTGATTTAAAGAAGTTTTTCAGAGAAGCTGAAAGTACTTAAATGTAAATCTCTAGCTTTTTTTTTTCTTTCCTGCTACACTACTGCACAATTAAGCTTTTTCTTTTGGTAGTTTTTATATTTCCTGAATGTGGGAGCAATACAAAATATGTTGAAGTAGAACCTGAGGGGTTGGGAGAGTAATGTAAGTATGGATTTATTTCTAAAAAGAGAAAAAAAAAAGTCTGGCAGAAGTTAGTTGTATATTCTTTGACAAAGCAGAGCTCTGCACTGGTGTTTGTTTTATAGCCTTGGCTTTGGCTGACAGACACAGGGACAAGGTCTCACCTCCTGGCCAAAACCAGCCCAAACCCCAGAGAATTTTGGAGTCAATGCAGAGGCTGGAGAGCTGCAGGAATCCAGGGCCAGGCTCTGTCCTGACAAGTGCAGACACAGCTCCTGCTGCCTTTGCCTCGCTTTGGCAGAGCTGAGCAAGGCCCAGAGTGTTGGTGTGAGGCTGCCCTGGCACCAGTGCAGACCTGCCTTGCACAAGGTTATGCTGCAAGACGGTGCTAAAGCTTTCCTGACCTAAGGAACTGAGGGAAAATGGGTGATAGTTAAGCAGCTTTAGGATTGTTCCATATTTTTGATAATTGTTAAAAGTTTCTAGTGTTTCCTGTATGAAATATCAGGTGTTTTAAATCACAAAACAGCAGAACACAGCAGGGGCTTAAATTTAGACTAGTTCAGAAAAAATAATGTACACACAGACCCTCCTCTGCCCCAGGAAGAGAGGTGGGGCCAGATTGCATCAGTTGTCCTGATCAGGGATGAGCCACGTTTGTGCTGACAGATCCATAAACTGATGGGAACATTTAACATAACAATGTGCATGTTGGGGGGATATGAGGGGACAAAAGGTAGGAAGCAGATGTGTCCTTTCCTCCTGGAGTCAGACACAGCTGGAAGGAGCCCTGCTCTCACCAATCACGTATTTCTAGTGTGCTTAAACTTGGCTGGCTTGTGATTATTTTTGATCTTCACATCCAAACAGGGGGAAGGGGAAGCTGTTTCTTGTTGTGATGATCACCCTCTCTTACAGTCTCACTGAGAAGGGTTTAGTCTGTAAGAACTGTAAGAAGAACAAGACAATGACAGATGTGGAGGGAGGGGGAGAAATGGGATCTTTAGGAACAGAAGGGAAAAGAGAAGGCTGGAGCAGGAAAATGCTAAAGCAAATGGAGTAATGTGAAGAGAAGAAATGATTTCCAGAAAACAGATATAAAGAATCCCTTCTGATCACCAGTGAGAAGACTTGCTTCAGTTTTTAGCGCTGGATTTACACCCCTACAATGGCACACATTTAGGCAGTTATCCCTCAAAAAAGTCCTGAAAGGGGGGGGATTTTACTTCTAAGCTTCCTCTTCAAGTGTACCCCAAAATAATCAATGAGTATAAAACCAGTAGTAAAACGGAAATCTTCTGATTTTGTGAGTGCCCAGCTCCATTTTTTTCTAATTAATAGAATTTTGATTGACATCCTGAATCCTATAAAGGCTTATAAAGGGATCAGAACACAGCAACACTTGCATTGTCCGAGTGGCAAAGGTAGAGTAAATCTATGGCTTTACTTTTCCAAGCCCTTTAGGATCAACTTTCCTCGTGTAAGTGTTAGCAAAGAAATAATCCATGCATGCTTATTGCTTCTTTCATGCTTGTGTGATTTTAATGATAATGAAATAGTACATGTCTGAGATCCAAAGGCAAACCACAGTCAAGTGTGCCTGGCTCATTGCTCCTCTCTGAAAAAAAGTGGGAAACCTCTGTGTGAGGCTGTTCTGGAAGGCTCAGAGCTTCCCCCTGCTCTCTCATGTAGATATACTTAGGTAGATATCTGATACTTGCTGAATTTTGTAGTAATTGGTTACAGAAGGGGAAAAAATGTGTTTTCTTGTGCACAGGGAGAATTTCCTGATGGTCTGAAACGTGCAACTAGGCTTTTTTATCTACAAAATGGATTGAAGCAGGTCTGGAAATATAGAATAATATATTATACATAATAATAATCTAGAATATATAATAATAGTAGCCAATCTTGTAACATGGGTCAATGAAATAGGGATGCAGGAAAACTGATGTAAGCAGCATAAAAGAGTCTTTTTAAATCCAACATTTCCTTGGTATTTGTGAGACTTACTCAATGTTTCTTTACTCCTCTGTGTGGTGTCCCTGTGCACATGCAGCTGCTCTGCTACTGAGTGCTGATGGAGATGGACCAGGACTAAATAATGAAATAATCCATGGAAAAAGCAGGTTTCAGTAGGGATGGCACCTTCTTATGTGTGCTCATAAAGCTGAACACTGGAAGTAATTTAACACAAGCTACAGGATAATAACACTTGTGCAGATGTTTTGAAATATGTATTACTGATTTTTTTCTTTTCTGGTTTTGTCTCTTAGAGATCATGCTGCTCCATGTGTCCTTTCATCTGTCCCTTATAATAATTTGTGGATCCAAGTGTAGAGATCTCAAAGGTAGGTCCCACCAGACATTTCTGTTCTGTACAGGGAAATACACAGACTGATTCTGCATTCAAGAATGCAGTATGAGCTCAACCTATGCATCAAAGAACCCACAAAAGAAAACCCCAGCTTTACCTCTCAGTTCAAGTTTCTCTTCTCAGTCAGTTTTCAGACAGAGATCAGAGAGGAATGAACTCATGATGCAGAATTGTGATAAAAACATTGAAAATAATTCAGTCAACAACCATGAGCCTGCTGGAAAGCAGACTTCAGTGGTTGCTGTTTCCAGGGTGAACTTTAGCTGGAACTCTGGTCAGCACTGCAGTTCTTCCAGCAGCTGAGGCTGGGGTGACTCTAGCACTGCAGTGTGACAGGGAAGTGTTGCCCTCCCTTCCCCATTCCCCCTCTGGCTTCTCAAATCTTTATAAATTGGTTTTCTCTCCATACTGGGTATTGATAAGGAGTACCTGAGAGCTGTGCTATTATTTTCCTTCCTGCTTTTTTTTTTCCCACTCAGAAGCAAGTGCTTTTTACTTATTTACAAATGGATGGATCCAGTTTTATGCTGTTACATAAAGATGGTAAATCCAACTGGGCACCTACATTCACTTAACCACAAGAAGTTTTTCACCTGGCAAGCATGCAACATTTGAAATATTCCTTCCCAATACTGGACCAAAATTCTCTCTATTTAGAATTGCATTTAGTTGCATTTTCTTGAGAGACATCTTATTGGCAGCTCTTATGTTAAAAAGGGAAACATTTATTCATTGCAACTGATTTATGGTAAAACTAATTTACCACCTGGGTAACTTTTGATTCTAATGAAGTGATCTCAGTTATAAAGTATGACCTTCTTAGGAGGAAGACATTTTCAGGTACAAGTCACCTGTAATTTTACAAGACAAAACACAAAGATTGCATTTGTAGATAATGATTTTAGACAGCATTGGTGACTCAGAGAGAGACTGATTAGAAAGTCTGCAAGAGGAGATGCAACCCTTGCAACAATTCTCTGTGGATCCCAGGGTGATCAGTCTGAGAAAGAGATGATTATGCCAGAAGCCTTCAGTTCAGAGAAGAGACAAACTTGGAATGCAGGAGAGGTTATAAAACCATTGGTGAGATAAGATAAAGCCTGGCTGTTCAGCAGCTCCTCAAACACAAGAACTCCAGAGGCATTGCACAAACCTGATGGAGTCAGCATGTGTACATGGGGAAATCCAGGGTGAACTTGGGGAGCTTATTCCCAAAGGATATCAAAGTCTCCTTGCTTGGAGGAAATACCCCTACAATGGCACACATTTAGGCAGTTGTCCCTCAAAAAGCCCTGAGGGGGGGGAATTTTACTTCTAAGTACCCCAAAGTGTAGCCCAAAATAATCAACGAGTATAAAATCAGTACTAAAAGGAAATCTGATTTTTTGAGTGTCCAGCCCTCGTTTTTTTGTAATTAGGGAATAGAGGGAGTAGAGGGAATAGAAATATGCTGAGGACACAGCTGGTTTTGAGCATGGTTCTGTTGGTTTTGCTGTGCAGAAAGACTGCTGGGCATTTGCAGCACAGTAAACACAGTGAGACTTCAAGTAGGTGCCACATAGCTGGGTGTGATCATCCATCTTCCTGCTCCACCGACAGATTCCATGGTCAAGGGTGGGCACTGTGGAGAGCCCGAGGGTCACAAGGATGATTTCACTGTGTCTGGCAGGGGAACAGCAGAATCTTTCACTGATCTGGTAAATGGGCTCAACTGACAGCCCTGTTCCATTCAAAGCTGTGCTGAGGATCCTGTGGCAACAAGTTGTGTAAACACAGGAGGCAAAGAATGTTCTCTGTGATTCCCAAGGTGGGGAACAGGCACAGTGTTGGATCCCAGAACCCT